ATTTTATTTATTTTATTTATTTTATTTATTTTATTTTATTTTATTTTATTTTATTTTATTTTATTTATTTTATTTTATTTTATTTTATTTTATTTTATTTTATTTATTTTATTTATTTTATTTATTTTATTTATTTTATTTATTTTATTTATTTTATTTATTTTATTTATTTTATTTATTTTATTTATTTATTTATTTTATTTACTTAACCCCCCCCTTTAATGCTAATGCTACGTAATGCGTACAGGAAACCCTTTAAGAAAGCTTAAAAGAAAAAACTTTGCACATCGTTAGCAAAACTAAAATAAAGATTTAATACACCAGCACCGCGCCAGCGGCAGCCCGAATTACCCCACTGCTGCATCTCGTCATGACTGCTACTTCCAGCTGCACTATTCGCAATTGGTTACATCAGATTGATGGCAACGATTACGCCTTGCTGGATCGCGACTCCGTGGATGAACGGCCTGCAAAGCGAATCTGTATTGATCCCCTCCAGGCGCACGAAGTTACTGCTCAATCGTGGCTTCCTTCGAGCCCCCCAATGCCAACATCAACAACGGTGCCGCTGCGCGTTACGCTGAAGCGAACAACTGATGAGATGAGCGATGCGCGTGAGTCCCTTGGTCGTCGCGCGCCTATCGTTTGCCTGCGTTGAGCTGACAGTATGGTGCGTTCAGCGGCTGCCGTTTCCGCCATTGCCCCTCCTCTTGCCCTCCCACCGCGCCTGCCTTCGCCGACCAAACGACGCACCCGATCGACGAGCCCCCTCAAACGCACGAACCTCCGACTCCTGCAAAAGCCCGTTCACATCAAGACTTTCGCCGCTGGTGACACGCTGCCGGACGACATTGAGCCGCTGCTGTCGCACGTCCAACAGGCAGTCAACAGAGAGGAGGTCATACCCTCCGAGGTGCGCGAGGCGGCCGTCGCAGCGGAGGGAGCTGGGTCACTGCGGCCATGGCACTTCCGCAGCACAGCAACCCCTGGCGCCGATGCACTGCACGAAGCACTGGTGGCCATCCGGCAAGACGCGGTCGCGGCGACCGAGGGTGAATACCACGAGGCGGGCTGGAACAACCTGGTCCACACGCCGCTGCTGCGCCATGTGTTTCCATCACGCGTCGAAGTCGGCCGCACGGGTGCTCGGCTGGTGCCCGTCATGTCGGCCGTCATCCACAACAACTACGTACCGGGCAAATTTGCCAGCACGTCCGCGTTGCTGATGAACCGCCTGCACGGCCACCTTGGCGGCGACTCAGCGTCGGTCGCTGGTGACTCGGTGTCTGGTTCTGGCGAGGGCAGCAATGCAGGGAGCAACACGGCCGGTCCGTCGGTGGACGGGCGACGGAGCGACAGTAAGAAGGTCGACTACGTGGCCTGTCTGGACGTAGCGGCAGACACACCTCTGTCGAAGGTCCTGTACAATGTCACCTACAACCAAGGCGTTGAGGCCGACATCCTGCCGCACGTCAACCACGTGCTGTACGCGCCGCTGCAATGGAGTCCGATCGCCGTGTCCATCGAGACGAAGACAGAGGAGTCGTCGCGCGACGCCATGCTGCAGTTAAGCATCTGGGTCGCGGCCTGGCACAATCGCATGGACGCACACCGCCAGCTCATCCGACGCGAGCTGCCGGAGCTATGGACGGCGCGGACTGGAGCCGAAGAGGCGCGCATTCCCAGCACTGTGCTCTTTAAGGTGGTGAACAATTCGTGGCTGCTTTATTTCGCCTGCGACCGCGGCACGCATATCGACCTGCTAGGGCCTTTCGACGTGGGCGGTACGCAAAACCTTAAAGATATTTATGCACTGGTTGCCGTACTTTTGGCCGTGAGGAATTGGATGGAGGAAGGCTTCCGCGATAGCGTTGCCAAATGGTTTATGTGCGAGGCCATAAATCGAGCGCTTTTCGGGGTTACAGATAAAGAGGAAAGTGGAGCACAGCCACTGGAAGCATGGACCCCTTATTGAATAGCACGAACAACGTTAGATGACACTTTGATTCCTTGAACCGATCGTGTCCCACAAGCCTCGTGGGCTTTCGTACTGCGACGCCACTTTTAGCTAAATCCCCACCAAAGTAGTCTGAATACACACCACCAAGCTACATACAAAAATCAACACATTCCAAACGCCATATCAAATCAGAAAAAAATGTTAAGATAAAAATTCGAAATGCATTTACAAATTTATACTTTTTATTAATATACCAGTTAATTTTAAGTTATGTAAATATTAAGAACCTAAATTGCAGCGCGTACCAAAATTTTTTTTTAAATTTTTTAAATTTTTCGCTATAACGCTTTTCAAAGGATAGTAAATCCATTTATAGCGGATGCATTTTAAGGTCCTAATTTTAACGTATTTTCCGAAAGCATACGGTACGTTAAAAAATCCAAAAAAAATATATATATATATGTTAAAAGCTTTGTAATATATTATTAAATTTTATTTTTTCGTTTATTTTTACAATTTTATTTGGCTATTTTATTTGCTTTTGAGTGCTATAAATTTTGGTTGGAAACTGCGTTTTTATCCAGACTAATTTTGTGGGACTGTATTATTATACATATCGTGCTTGTTCCTTGGAATGCCCGCCAAGACCAACTTGGCGCGTGGAGGTGCGGTAGCGCCGTTCCCTCGTTGCTTCATTTCATGGTTTCTGATTGGTTAGAACAACCTTAAGTTGGCAGAGCCCCCCGGCGGGGATGGAGAAAATTGGGCTCCTAATAATAGCCCCGTCGTTTATCCAGGGGCCTTGAGGTACTGTAGTGTAAAGACGCGGCCGTCGTACACTCGGACAGGTTCACGCGGGGTTCTTCAGCTAGATATCGTTTGCTGCCATGGGCGCATGTCTCATCGAACAGCGGCGAGCCACGGGTGGTACTGTACAAGCTCCCATGGCTCCATGCCATGCATCTGCTCATCACGGGCACGTACCCATGGCAAAACGGTTTGACATCTCTGGTACTCGTCCGTGCGCGGCAGGTCTCTCAGATGTGATGGCTCGCGCATGTGGTCTAGGCGTGGGGCGTGGACCTGCCTGACTCGGAAAACACCAGCAAGAATATTGCCCACGAGCCATTTGCAATCAATGGTGGTGGTGACTGGTGAGGCTACAGCGGATGAGCGGCTACGTATGCAGGGCATCATCTTCAAGGAACGCTCGGGTGCGGACGGTACTTGCCAGTGAACTGCCGGCCGATTCAGCCGTCCGCACATGCACGCGTCGGTAGAGGGGCTCGGGGGAGTCCGCTGATAACGGGGAAGCCGGAGCCGCATTTGCCTCCATCTCTCGTGGTTTAATCATGGACGGCCCCGCAATGCTTGATCCTAGCGCCACTGACACCGCATGGCAAACCACCAGCGCTATGGCCAGAATACCAGCAAATAGAAGGGTCGAAGTCTGGCGGTGAAAAATGCTCGACGTCTCTGTGGCCATCGGCTCTGGACGATTCGAGTGAGCCATAAGCCGCAGCTGCTCACAGTTCCAGTGGAAGATCCGAATTGATAGAAGTGAATGGCCTTGAGCTACTGCTGGGGAGAGGTGGAATATAATCCTGGCCCTATTCGAGCGCGGATTGTGAAGAAAGCAACGTGCCCTCAGCCAAGTCACGACGAATCTAATAACATCAAGATCATCACGACTCTATGCGAAGCGATTCAGCTCCTCCGACATGAAGCGGTAGAACCTCCTTTTCGTGTGGGGAATACTTTGTCCATATTTACCAGAGCAATTTGACCCAGCGATCCACGCAGCTAGCGGCTATTAGGCGCATTTTCTCCAGCACTTCTCAAGTGCATATCTGGATTGGACCCAAACGAGATGGACTAGGGCATTATGAACGGGACAGCTGCATGCCCACGTATGGCCTCTTTTCCATTTCTCGCGCGATACAAGACGGGTTAAGGGGGCTGCGTTTGGACGAATACCACGGATCCCACCAGGGCGCCACCGAGAAGCCTCTAACAGGTCGATTCTTGGTCCCATCCAAGAAACCGAGGAGAAGCAATTTAGTGGTTTGTGGCATCAGTGCGATTTCACCTGGTTTCGGCGCATATGGGTCCTCTAGGAAGTGTTCAACGCGTCGAGGATTCCTCCGGCTATTGTGTACTGCGCAGTCAAGATGCGCTTCCGTGGATGATGATACTGTGCGCTGCAAAATGGGCCACACTCATGGTGGGAGTGAGGGAGCGGGACAGCAAGCCCCCCTGCTCCGTGAAGCCTCCTATATCTCTCAGGCTGCTGTTGGAAGTAGAAACTCAACACTCGCCCTCGCAATAGTACCCGTGGTCGCCGGGCGTTCTGGAAGCGCTTATCGGCGGCCACGATCTCGATGCGGCCGACTCGCGTGACAAGATATTTGCACTCCTCCATGGAGTTTGGCTCCAGGACTCAGGATGCCGAGAAGCTCTGGGCCTTCACGTGAACACAAAGTGCAAGGCGGCCGGAGACACTGTTTCCGACACGGCACTGCTCCAAACACGGTTCAGAAGCGTTGGGGTCAACAACCTTAGCCTCCTGCCACGCGGTCGCAGGCTTTGCACCCCAGAGGCCATCTATTTGCAAGCGCGGGGACATGAGATCTGCGAACGCTGGACGGCTACGCCATCTTTTCCCATGTGTGGCATGCCTTGGGGACTTGGTGGTCCTAAACGGCGGGTCTATGCCGTATGTGCCACGAAACGAGGGGTTACGAAGAACTGGTAGAGTGTAAAAGTATAGTCAGAAAATGTATCAAAAGGCAAGGCCTTGGCCCGCGAACGGCTTATTGGGGAAGCGTTGTTAACAAGGCTACATGAACGGCGAAGCTCTGCGAAAGAAGAATGGATTGAAAATGTTTCCGGCGGGGATTTTCGACTGAGTCTAGTTTTTTTTATTCAACTTATATCCGGAATTATCCTTGAAGTTGGCAAGTAGCCTACTGAGCTTGGGATCGATTCTAGATTTGGATATTTGTTTCTCCTTGACCAGACCAACAGACGACAGCATAGCTCATCTTGAAGTCAAAAGACCATGCCCCTTTCTTCGAGACGATGCGCAGCAGCTAAAATGCTGCACACATCCCCCCATAAGCAGCGCCCAAATCCCACCCTCGCTTCTACTTCCCACTCCCCTTCGCCGCGCTCCCCATGTCCTCCGCCGCGTCCGCCCTGTTCCACGTCTCGCCCTCGAGCGCGTCGACCAGCCGACCGAGCTCCGCGATCCTGGCGCGCGCCCGGTCCTGTTCCCACCGCTGGAGCGCCCACGTATCGGCAAGGACGTCCCGTGCGAAGCCCGGGACCGGGGCCCTGGCGGCGGCGCGGTAGTCGTACGTCACCATCTCCTCCCGTAGTGCGGCGGCGGCGCGCCTGTGCCGGTGGGAGAGCACGAGACACTCGAGCTTGATGGAGGAGGAGTCGCTGTCGCCGATGGGCTCGCGCAGGCGGGTGTAGACTGTGTGGGCGGGCGGGGTGGGTGAGTGGGTGAAAAAAAAAAAAAAAAGGCACGTCTAGTGCAGGTATGGGAAGGGCAGCGTGCTACGAGTCCTGACACTGACCGGATATTGTGTCTGGGTATGTCACTGGCTACAGGTGGGCGACGCGGAGGTCCTTGTTAGCTTACGCGCGAGCATGGATGGCAGGGTCGAGTCAGCCTAGACGTACGAGCTTGAAGTCCACCGTGATCGACTTCATGATCAAGCCTATAGCCCGGGGCGTCATGAGCTCCCTCCACTGGTCGGCATTCGCAGGGTCAATATTCCGGGCAAAGTTGGTGACCCAGTTAACTCTGGAGCCCTCTGCATACTTGAGATACGTGACATTATTTACGTGTTGCTGCGGGGGAGCAAAGGGATTAGACGCCATAGAAAGCGGACGGTCGAACCGCTGATCAGTAGGGAGATACCCGGGTGTACGAGGGAGAGAGACACGTATATGCTCATCGAGAAAAAAACACGGAGAGACGCAGACATACAAAGGCATCCATCACTCCCCAGAGGATCTTGTGGTCCTGCAGCCCCCTACCCTCGCCCGTGAGGAAGCCGAGGTTCCCGGCCGTGAGGTCGCGCCACTCGGCGGCGAGGGCGCGCACGACGACGGCGGCCCGCGACACCTGGTCCCGCGAGCAGCCGAACATGACGCACCTGCCTATGCGCGCCTGCAGCTCACTCAGCCACCTCGGGGACGGCGGTTCAGAGGCAGCAGCAGCAACAGTAGCAGCAGCATCCTTTGACGCCGAGAAGTACCGAACACGGCCCCACACGGGAGGAAGCTGTAGGCGCTGTGCTGTCCTCCACAGCGGGCTGCTTGGGCGCAGTCGAGGTGGCATTTGGATAAGGTAGGTTATATGTGATATGGAAGTCAGTTGACACCTCGTATTGAGGGTTTGATGCTGAAGGTCAAGGGATGGCTGGTCATCAGCGTCTGGCATTGGTGTGAGGACGCCATTCAATTACGAGGGGTTCCGCTATCGGACCCACACACGTACGCTAAGGGGTGTGCTCGGATTGCATCATCGGCAGCTCCAACCAGCTCTTCAACCACCAAGGCAAGCGAAATGCCGTCGCCATGGTGCCGCCCCTGAACCCCGTGCTTCGAAGAGAGGTGATAGCCATCTACAAAGGTCAGCGGCGGACCTTGCGTCTTCCATCCCTGACAGTGTCGCCCTATGCATTGCCCGAGCTCTGTTCGGACACCCCGATGTTCTGACAAGACGGCCACGCCCAGAGCTGCTCAACCTCGGCAGGGACTACCCCCTGGGCTTCGACTACTTCCGCCCCCGCCTCCATAAGGCCTTCATGTCCAACGCCCATCTCCGAGACGACCAGGAGATCCGCCGGGGCATCGCCAGGGCTCAGTTTGTCCAGAAGGGTATGTGTTTCTGTGCCACCATCTCGCGTAGAATAGGGTAGAATTGGGGTGCTGACTGCTCTCGCTGTAGAGATCGAAGCGCTGTAGGTGCTAGGTCTTCTGCAGAGTCACTGCCCCAACAACACTGAAAATGGAGGACTGACCAGAGCTGTGATACCGCCATGGGCGCCATAGATACTACCTGAAACGGTACCGAGCCCTCAGGAAACGATACTCATCCCCGTGATGGGAACATGACAGGGCGAAGTGTCTAGACAGGCGGGAAGCGTATAATAGTTCACAATCCCAACCCACACATAGATGATGCAACATTATCACCACATTAATAGAATCCACGCAGAATAGATAGCGTCCAGGCTCATGCATAGATCTATACCGCCGGAACTAGGAAATGGGCTCACGCTGTGACAAAGCAAGAATCACGATATAATAAAACGGCATCTCGCTAAATTCCTCCACGCCTTCTCAGCCCCAAGTTTTCCTTCCCTGCCCCGAATTTCCCTCTCCGGCTTTCAAACCTGGCGGTGTTTCCGCTACTTCTTCCTCGCGTACCACGCCCCGACCTCAAGGCACTCGCCCCACGAGGTCCCGCCCTCCAACAGGAGATTGTTTTGCATCTTGCCCTGCCACGTGTCCCACTCGTCCTGCGACTTGCCACTGGCCTCCCTCAAGACCGGCTCGAGGCTCTGGATGAGCTGCACAACCGTCTCGAGCGCCGTCCGCCGGAGCGCCGCCTGGTTCGGGGACAGCCCCCTCCTCTTGCGGCCGCTGCTGGCGCCGACGCTGCCGCTGCCGCTCCCCTCCCCTCCTCCCGCCTCCTCACCCCCTTTGCCCGCCTTGGCCGTCGTCGACACGTAGCTCTTGCCGTCGCCCTTTGTGACGACACCGCCGACCCCTTCGCGCTCCCACTTGACCTCGGATAGCGGCACGGCCATACGACGGGATCCGACGCCCGTCAGCTGTTCCTCGGCCAATAGAACGTAGTTGACGTTGGTGCATGGGACGGGGCTAAGCTGGCAGGACGCGAGCGCCTTGGTTACCCAGCTGTTATACTCGACTAGGAAGTTATTGAGCGGGCTCGACATGGGCGTGTTGGACGTGATGATGTAGGCACCCATACGGCTCGCTTCCTTGTTCCCCTCGCTCGGCTCCTGGTCCGAGCCAGAGTCGTCGTTGCTCGAAGAGTCGTCTTCGTCCGAGTCTTCGTCCGAGTCGGGGCCCACGTTGCCTGCCGTCGTCGCCGCGGCGGCTGCCGCCGCCGACGACCACCCGCCGGGGACTGCAGCCGAGACGGTTGGTACATGTGGTCTCAGCATGCGAATGGTGAAATCCGACTCCCAAATCTCGAGGGTGCCGCCCGGGCGGAGGACCCGCAAGATCTCGCTGGTAAATGACTCAGCCATGTGAAATGGCGCAACTGTGGATGTGCTCTGCATCATGACAAAGTCGAACTCGCAGTCGTTGAAGGGCCAGGGGAACCGGCGGATGTCATGCTGTATGAACCGCCACTTCATGTCCTTGTCCGGCGGGCGCAAGGACGCCGCGGGGACGGCGCCGTCCGACATGGATGATGCCGACGAGGCCGAGGGGGCGGGATCATCGAAGCCCCAGCCGCTGGCGCCGGCGATGGGCGCGATATCGACGCCAGTGAACTGGATGTTTGGGTGACCCTTCTTGGTCCAGTACCGGTGGCACATCATGCTCCAAAAGCCGGACCCGCATGCCAGATCGAGGACGCGGGCGGGCGGACGTTCCTGAAACAATGGGGAGCATATGGGGCCCCCAAAGAGCTGGAAAAGCATCAGCGTCTTCATGGAGCAGCGGTGCAACTCGGGGAGATCGACGGGCAGCGGGTAGTCCAGCGTCGGGTCGGCAAGGTAGGTGCGGCCATTACGCGTGACAAAGTGCGACCTCCCCCTTGGGTTACTGGGCCTTGCCGTCGAGTAGGTGACGGGCCTATACGGCAGGCCATCCGCGGTGGGTGGGGGGTCGGTGGCGGACATCATGGTTCGGGCGCTCGAAACGGTGAAGCCGGAGCTGCTAGAGTTGCTCTCGACGCGAGCAAACGGAACGGTAGTCTTTTGAATAGCCGGGGACTCGCGCAGCACCGACGCATGGTGCTGCCGCTGCTGCGACTGAGTCTGTGGAAGGCTTGGCAGCGGCACCTGCGGCCCGTTGCTTTGCTGGTTGTGCCTTCTATCGGCCAGGTGCTGCGTAATCCGCTGGGAGAACGAAGCCCTAGAGGGTGACGTCACCGACCGAGGGATTGAGGCCCCGGAAACAGCGGCGAGACCGGCAATTGCTGCCGCGACGCTTGACCGCGGACTGCCCGCGAGCTCAAGGTGCTCGTCAGTGGGAGCCGGCGTCGACGCAGAGAAGAAGCGCTGTGGCTTGGAGTAGGCTGGGGCACTCTCGGCCGGGTGCGCTGTCCCGCCTTGGGGGACGGCTGGCGGCTGCTGCTCGTGGTGTCGGCCGTGAGGAGACGATGGTCTCGATGGCACCTGATGCCGCAGCGAGGGATGTTCAGATGTGAGGGAGACGGGTGCTGCGGGACTTGTGATGGGAGAGAGCTTATGCAGAAATCTGTGCCTCGTCGGCGCTAGCCCAGAGGCAGAGTTTGGCGGTGCTGTCGATGCGGGAGCCGAGACAGGCGAGCTGCCTGTGACAAACCAGGGAGCCGAAAAGCGCGGCGTCTGTGGGTTGTTGTGCGGCAAGTGCAAGGGTGACGACGGTGTTGACGGAGACGCCGAGCTGGCAGCGTCTTTGGTGGCCGAGGTGCTCGCCCAGCGGTGGTGCCAGCGGCTTCTGAGGTCCTTGTGTTCCTTGCGCTCCTTGAGGTCTTTGTGCTCCTCGCGCTCCCTGTCGCTGCTGTCCTTCCTGGCAGCAGAAGAGGCAGCGGCAGTAGCGACAGCGGAGGAGGGCAGAGGGGTATCGTGGGACGAACGGTAGCCTGCTCCTCTGCTAGAACTGCTGCCGCTATCAGTCGAGGTAGTCCTTGTGTGGGCCCGAAAACGCGGCCGCCCGAAGGCCCGCGACGTCGAGTTGGAGCGGGCTGGCGGCCGTGCTGGTGGTGGTGGTGGTTGTGGTGGTGGTGGTTGTGGTGGTGGGGGCGGTGCTTGGTCGGCGTCTTCCAAGTCCGCCTGCTCTCCCACCTCTCGCGGGGATTGCAGACGAGGAGGGTTTGTCGTGCTTTTTTTCTCCTCGAATGGGTTGATTAAATGGGCATTGGCAGCAGCAGCATAACCCCAGTAATATTCCGACATCCTTGCCAAACCTTTTTTTGCTGCTCCTTTTTCCCACCTGGTTTTTTTTCTCCCACCCTCTGCTCCCCTCTTCGTTCCCGCCCCCTTATCTGTTCCCTGCAAATCAAATGTTTCCAGGCCGTTCCAGTTTTAGGGGTTAGGCCACGCCGCTTGTGCCAGCCCGCCCGCCGGGGAACGTGGAGCTGTGTTCCGTCGCCTGTTCGCTTCCACAAGGGTGGGGAAACAGCAAACCTGCCTGCCGCTGGTTGCGCCGTCACAAACGAGAATGACAGCGAGAATGAGAACAAAAAAAAAAGGACTGGAAAAAAAAAAGCCCGTGATCCCTCTCGCACGTGGTCACTCGGTGTACTTGCCGTCTACTACAGGGTGGTCTGGTTGTGCAGCCCCTGGCACGCGACCTTCAGCCAACTCTCTAACCAACGCGGATGGTAGCGCCAGGAAAGCAAGGCAAGCAAGGCAAGGCGGACCCACGGCCTAGGCGACCGTGCACAAACTAGAGCAGACCCGGTGCTGTCAGAGTCTGCGTCGGGCGGCTGTTGGCAGCAAGCTATTTTTTTTGGCTTTCCTGTCCTTGTCCATGCAATTTCTCTTTCCCTCGTCCTCGCCCTCGGCCCCTCTGTTTGCGTAGGCGCTCTCCACAAGGCTCGCCGATCTGCCGTGTCGGGGTTCGCCGCGAGCTGGAGGCAAACAAGTCGGCGGCCTGTTCGGGGTGCTGTCGCGCACTCCGTTCGGTGTGACCGCCTGGGCCAGTCGCCCTGCGCGCTTCCCTCGACTCAGTCGCCGGCCGGGTTGAACGTGTTTGGCGCTCAGATCATCGCAGGCTCTGCCCACAGACCCTCTAGCCAGCGGATAGCCACCCCGTTCAGGAAAGGGTAGGAAAACCTGGCGGCCCACTATTGTGGGATTGAGTCGTTGCTTCGCATCTGAGTCTCGGCGTCTGTGTCGCGCAAGGCCTCCACGTTCTGTTTTGACAGCCGACGGGATCCGCCCGGGCCCACAAAGTCAAAAAAAGCCAAACTGCCAAACTATCAATCCGACTGGAATAGACGGCCACTCATGCAGTGGCATGAGGCGGCTGGCAAGTTCCAGTGGAGAGGAAGTGAAGAAAAAAAGAAAAAAGAAAAAACTGTCGGCCGCGATAGGCAACAGGTCGAGTGTCCGCGTTTTCGAGCCGTGACGGGGCTGAATGGTGTGGGGCTCGATAGCAGGTGGTGGTTGTTGTTTGAAGCAACACCCGACGGTTGGCACCACTCCTTGGGCCTTCCGTCTGCTGGCTCTTGGCGGTCTGCTAAGGCCAAGCCAGCCGCCCCTCCCCCGCGCAGGCGCCGCCCCAACTTTGCAGAAGAGCGGGATCAAATGGGTTTAGGCCTGGCGCATCGAAGGCTTGCCTGCGAGATGCCGGCCGTGGTTGGGTTAATGTTCGAATCGCGTCTCTCGGGATGTTCGCCGGTGTTGCGTCGCTTCTGTTTTCTCTCTGCCCCAGTCTGCTCCCCGTCCTCCCCCACTCGCTTTTTATTCTTCTTGCGCCGTAGCTGGCTCACCCTGGGCAGCTCGAGCCGGCGGCAACTGGCGGCCAGTCGCGTGCAATTTCCCTGGCCAAGAGAAGCAGCGTAGCGAGCCAAACATGAAGTGTTTGGCAGGCAACGAGCCGTCCGCCTCGGCCAGACGAGAGGTTGTGGAGGTCTCGTGCGACGAGACTAAACCACAACCAAGCTTCGGCGACGTCAACGTCCGATCCTCGTCCGCTTATTTTTGCCTCAAGGAGACGGTGCCGCCGACGTATGGACGCCGCCGTCCCAGCTTCAGACCCTTGCCGCGCGGGCTCGCGTATTCCGTGGCTTGCTGCTGTCGACTTGCCCCAGCCAAGCCACCCATCAGCCGATCAAGTGCCTGTAGGGCGATGCCGATGAAGCTGCAAGTTTCCGTTTGTCGCTGAATCGAATGTGTCGAGGGCCTTTTGCTGTGGTGACACGACCTGACAGACGAGGCTCAACCAGCCGTTGTCCCACCCCAACAGACCCAGTATCCTGCTGGGCTGGTGTGGGTGAGCGAGCGCGCGTGTATGATCAAAAAAGGCGCCTGCAACCGCTCGCGCGGCTGGTCGGATTTGCCGGTGGAAATGCCTGAACTAAGGCGTGAACCTCGCAAACTGGCTGTGACCAAGCTCTATTTATGGGAGGGAGCAGGAGGAGTAGATACTTTCTTGAATGGGGAATACCCGCACTTAAAGTCTGGGCCGTCCATCGCCGCCCTCATCCACCTCGCCCGGAGCTTCGCCAGAAACGCACTTTCTATGTTCCTCTATTCGTCCAAGAAGTGCGTATCTCGGCTTCTCCAAAACGGCAGATACGGATGTGGGGATCACCAGCCATTCACCGTCACCCCTAGACCATGGTGCAGACCGCCAGCGCCCAGAGCACCAGACCTTTACTTGCAGGACGCCGGCCGGCCATTCACACGCTTCCTTTGTTTTTTTCCCTGCTCGATTTCCCTGCACCGAGATTCGCGAGCGAATTAAATCGTATCGATCTGCAGGATGCCTGGTACCTCAGACCACCCTTCCCGGCTCCGACCACTTGCTCGACATCGTTTCTCCTCCCGCTGCTCTCCCTTGGGCCATAGATACACTGCTTCGTTTCCGACTGTCAACGCGCCCCCTCGGCACCGCAATAGCCCTCTGTCTCCAACCTGATAGCCACCTAAATGGTGCCCACAGTGCTAATTTCGGCCTTTGGGGCGACGCAAGTGTCCTGCAACGCATAGACACGAGCTGCACCATGCGCTCCGCACCGGGTCGAGGCATTGGCGAGCCTCGATGCGACTCTATCCAATATCGAGTGATGTGGCATCACGAACTCGGTACTTGGCAGTGCTCAGGGCATTGTTTGCGGTGAATTTCTTGTTAGACCCGCTTTTCAGTGCTGGGGCCGCAGCGAATGTGCCCTTGCTGATTCGTTGACCACCACACTATAACCACGGAACCGTACGCGCATGCCCCCTAATTATCCGTCCATTGACGCGCCAGCCCCTAGCTTTGTTGCGTCACCACAAAGGGAAGCAAAGCAGGTATGAAGATTGAAGAATGGAACTCCGTCAATACCTTCAAACTGTCGGCTGTTTATCGAGGATGCCAAAGGTTGAGCATAGGAATAGTTGTTGATAGCAGCCATAAGGGTGTGCCACTCTCTATGTATATGCGGCCTCGGCGCCAATGTTACTTGTTGGCCATTCGATAGCTCCCAGAGCGGGTTCCGTGCCGGAATCTTGGGTCTTGTGCCCACTTCGGCGTCTTCATCTTCCGCACCGGATGCTACAGCTCTGGGGTGCCCTTTCGGCGTTTGGCCGAGAACGGTAGTACGTGGTCCGCACCCAGAAGTTTTGTCGGTGAGCCTTTGACGTGTAGCTTGGGGGGAATAAAGGGATGGGATCAGATATCGTTGTCCTACTCGGGCCCGAGCGTTTGCACGATCGTGGCCTGGTGTTATGCTGGCCCAGCGGTTAGAGCTCCAACGGCCTGTCTTTCATAACGGTAGCTCCACATTGGAAGCTTGATTTGCCTGTCTCATTATTGAAACGAAGAGGGAATGCATGTAGTGGCATAGGGCCCCCTAATTCTTGGACAAAGCAAGCGGTGGCTGATCTGATTTCAACTTGGTTCGTGCCGAGCTAGATTCTCGTCCAGACCCCCTGAACCGAGTAGTTTCCATGGCCAAGGTAGTCCGGTGACATGTCCCCACCTCATCACTGTGGCGGGGCTTCCCGTCGGTGGCTTTCCCAGCTTGGCGGGCGCAGGAAGCTTCTGCGGTGGCTGACGGCAAGGCTACCATCACGTGACAATGTTACCTAATCCTGGTCGACACGGCCAACTGCAGAGATGGAGCGAGCACAACAACGAGCACATGAGGAGCAGCTGATCGGCCGCCGACGAGCACCCGCGCCTCTGGCATTCGATATCTTTCGCCCCGAGTATCCATTCGCAACTGCTCGAGCATCCCATTGTCAGTCATTGTGCATTTACCCTTCCCCCACACTTGTCCGCCGCTGTCCGCGCCTGGCTAGGGCCCCGCTCGGAGCCCAAATCCAGCGCGTGTCAGCAAAGTCCAGTCCCAGCCAGCGTTGTCCATCGCATCCCTTGCTCAAGCCTAGCCCGCTGCCTTCAATTGCCGCTCGCTCACCCGCTGACCCGCTCCCTTGGCTTCCTTCACAGTTCTTGCAGGCCAGTCAGTATACTACCGCACAGGACCCGACTTTCCAATCACAAGGACCGGCGAGATCCAGCCAAACCCGCCACACGCTGCTCTCGTCCCCGAGCCCACCCAATTCTCGGCCACGACTTGCGCCCTCCCTAAGCTGCGACGCGCCCATCTGTCGTTGATGGGTCGTCGTCCTTGACCCAAGACCACCTCCGCCGCCGCCCGCGGCAGACCCGAGACGTCGACCGGACCGCCGCCGAGACCACGATCGTTTTCGCCGTATCTATCTCCATGCGGCACAGGCCGAGCCCCATGCTCCCACCCCGACCATCGTTCCGGCTTCAGGACAGAGTTGCTTCCCATGCGGATTGAGGCTCTAAATCTCCTCGCTCACCACAACGCCGCACCACCCCCGGCCCTTAACCTGCTAGAGCTCAGCTGCTGCTCGCTCTCCGACAACCTCACATAGATGGCCGACGGCCCCAGATACCTGCAGCAGTCGACCGGGCCAGCCTTCTACCAACAACACGCGCCCCAGAAACCACCGCTCCCCAGCGGAGCCCTTTTACCATCACTCCTCCATCCTTTTCTGACCACCAACCCGCCATCGCCGTCACGATCGCCAGACCGCCAGGGCGCCCACGCCCAGCCGCTGCAAGGCATGTACAACCATAACCAGCAGCAGGGACACAACTCCCGCCTCAACAACAACCCACAGGGCCAGCGCATGCCCATCCATTACAACTTCCAGCAACCCGCCGGCCTGCAGCACCAATCCCATGCCCAGCACCACCCCAGTCTCCAGCAGGAGCCCTCGGGGCAGGGTGGCAATGCCGGCGTGCTGGGGCACCACTCGACCTACTCGAGCGGGGTACTGTCCAACGCGAGCCCCTTCTCCGCCAACCTCCCCAATGGCCACAACTCGGTAACCCGGGGCGGCCAGGCACAGCCCATCACCGAGGGTTGGGCCGAGCAGCTTCGCATGTATAAGGACGCCGAGCGGGCACACGCCTCTATGATGGAGCAACCCCACTACTATGCCCGCCTCAAGGCCCCTGAGAACCGCAACGCCACTTCCCCTGCCGCCGGCGCGACGTCCACAGCCGAGGGCGAGGTGGAGGACAGGAGACGGCCCGGGGCCGTCCAGATCGCCAAGTCCTCAAAGCAGCAGTACTGGACAAACCTCGACATGAGCGGCCAGCAGATCCGGAGCCTCTCCATGAGCCTCTTCAACTATATCTTCCTCCAGGAGCTCTACATCTGCTCCAACAAGCTGACCACTCTGACCCCAGCCATCGGAGAGCTACGCCAGCTGCGCATCCTGGATGCTTCCCATAACCAGCTGACCGATCTGCCCGCAGAGATCGGCATGTGCACGTTTCTCAAGCACCTGCTGCTCTTCAACAACCACATCCACACCCTCCCCCACGAGATAGGCTCGCTGCATCTCCTCGAGCAGCTAGGAATCGAGGGCAACCCCCTGGACCCCGATACCAAAAACATCGTCAAGACTTCAGGGACAGCGACCCTTGTCAAGGATCTCCTTGAAAAGCAGCCTGGTTCGTCTAATCCGCCTCCCCCTCTTACTTGTCATATTTCATGGCGCTTGCTGACTCTGATCTCGGTATAACCGTAGTCCCTATGCCTCCTCTACCGCGAAAGATGCTCACCATCCAAGAAGACGTGTCCCCGAGCCTAGAAAGGATAAAGGTGTTCTCGTGGAACATACTTGCTAGCAGATACGCGACGGCGATGCTATACGGCTACACTCCCTCGGGAGCTTTGGAATGGGATTACCGGAGGAGGAAGATCTACCAGGAGATCCGAGACCGCGACCCTGATTTCTTGTGTCTGCAGGAGGTCACCACCAACGCCTTCACGGAGGATTTCAGCCCAGAGCTCGCAAGGCAGGATTACAAGGGAATCCACTTCCCTCGTACCAAGGCCAGGCTGATGAACGAGAAGGAGGGCGCCAACGTCGACGGCTGCGCGATTTTCTACAAGGGGAGCAAATTCATTCTCCTGGACAAGCAGGTGATCGAGATGTCCAACATTGCGCTCAACCGTGCCGACATGAAGACGGGCAACGACATTTTCAACCGGGTCATGCCAAAGGACAACATCTGCGTCATGGGATTCTTCGAGAGCCGGCGCACAGGTGCGAGGATGATCGTGATGAATGCGCATCTGGCCTGGGAGGGCACGCTCGCCGATGTCAAAATCGTGCAGACGGCCATCATGTTGGAGAGTCTGACAAAGTTTGCCGACAAGTACGCGCGCTGGCCCGCTTGCAAGGACAAGAAGATGATCCGGCTGCCAACCTCGGATTCGGACGACGGGGAAGGGGAGGACGGAAGCTGGAAGAAGGAGGAGGAGGTGGTGATCGAGCCCGCGCCGTCACAGGAGTACCGCAGCAACACGGACATACCCCTATTCGTGTGTGGCGACTACAACTCGACGGCCCAGAGCGGTGTGTTTGAGCTCCTGTCCAAGGGGCGGCTCGCGCCGGACCACCCGGAGCTGGCCAAGCACTCTTACGGGCTGTTCACGCGCGACGGAATCGAGCACCCCTTCAGTTTGCGGTCGTCGTACCAGCCGCTGGTGGGGACGCCGGAGGAGATGCCCTTCACCAACTATGTGCCCGACTTTGCCAACGTCATCGACTACATATGGTACTCGTCCAACAACCTCGAGGTTGTGGAGCTGCTGGGCCCTCCGGACGCGCAGCACCTGAAGCGCGTGCCCGGGTTCCCCAACTACCACTTCCCGTCGGACCACATCCAGATCATGGCCGAGTTCGTCATCAAGGCGCGGAAGGACAAGAAGGGCGGCGGGCAAGCGTCCTCGTCATGAGACGGGTCCTGTTGAATCTTATTTTCCTTCTCCCCGCTGTCTTTTTTACCATTGCGTACTTTGTTCCCTTTGGTCGCTTCGTTTTTGGATCGTTCTCGGTTAGTGTAGAAGATGAAATGAAGGCCTACCGGTCATCTTCTTTTGATCCGTCGGCTCCCCGTTTCTTCTGTCTGTCGCATCCACGCGCTCGCCTTTTTTCCCTTTTGTGTGGCGGTCTCTTTTCTACTTTGTTTTCTTGTCGCGCACGCCAAATATAACACGACAAGCCTTGCATCTTTTTGCAGCCAACAGGGTTTTACTTTTGCGTGGGTTTGCCTTTGGGCTGGCGGTGTTCTGGATCTCGGTAACAAAATTCAGCCACGCACTGAATGGGTACATATCCTGCAGGATCAAGGGAGGTGGGAGGGGGGAGTCGGGGTGTCACGCCGTCAATGAAAGGGGTGGTGTTTATTCCATGCTTCTCTCTGGTCGTCACTTTCTGTGGGAGCAACATGGAAAATGGAAACGGGGGCGTTTTGTTCACCTCGCGCGGAACATGATGGTGGGCGTGGGGATGGATGGATGGGAGGGAAAAAAGGGGGGGGGGGAAGGACGGGACGCTGAGGGTCGGCCACGGTGGGTGCAAAGGATCTGGAATATTGCCATAACAAGCACGACATTGTCTTATCTCCGTAAATCTTGGCTTCTTGACGAGAAATGCGTCTCATGTCCTTTGTCCTCTATCACTCTCGTTTGTCTTTGTTTTCCCTTGTCCTTTTCGTCTCTTTTCCTCCTCTTCCTACTTGCCAAGCCTCCACCTCTTCTCTCATATTATATCTCCTGATCTGAGAGCGGCGGCAAGGATGGGGGGAGCTAGCGCCAGCGTGGGCGACGGCGTCTGATTGGGAAACGATACATGTAGCTGTACGATTATACATTCTCCCGTCTTTTTTTCGTCATTTTTGCTTCTCCGATCCATTCCATTGTTCGCACGATCACGCACCTTTTTGGGTACATCCCCACCACCGTTCGCTATTTTAATAAACAGCGGCCGTGATTCGAGCTCCGGGAGGGCTTCCTTTTGCTGCGTGCATTGTTTTGCCGTTTGAGTCGCTACCTGCCGTCCATAAAAAAAAGAAAAAAAAAGGGGGGGGGTTGGAGCCTCTCGAAGAATGCCAATAACCAAATCCTCGAATCCGAAGTGGCCCGGTCCGGGTTTGACGTAACAAAAGGCTGGGCGCGCAGTAAGCCCAACTGACTGTTGTTGGATCGCGCAGGACGGGGCCGTGCCGGGCTGCGTCTATTGTGGGGACATGCGGCACAGAGTGCAGAATGAGTGAGCAAGATCAGGGGCAGTCGAACCCTGCGTGGACTGGACAAGCGAAGAGTGAAGAGAAGGATGAACTTGCACACTGCAAATGGAACAACGGGCAGAGTTTGGTGGGGTCAGATTCAGCATTTGCGTGTTTCTGTACTGTGAGACCTCGGAAAACAAGAACAGAATAGAAACCCAAACGCCACAGAAATGAAGAAACAAGGAAAAAGAAAACTCCGATCTATGCTATGCACCGCCTCCATTACCGGAGGTCGGGAGCTGAAAACAAAAAACAAAAACATTTCTCCTCAAGGGCGCATTTCCCCGCCGACAGATACGGAGGGGGAACAAGCGAAGACTGGTGGGCTTTTGTGGTACAAGCAGCAAGGCGCCTGGGCTGCTGCACTATTTTTGATGGATTGTCTCCGCAGGAGGCAAGGCCGACGTGTGAAAAGATGCAACAAAACAAAAAAAGATGGACAACCGCCATCCTAGTTGGAAGTGTTGGAGTTGCGTCGGGTTGCGTCCCTGCGGCAGGCAGCGCAGTCGTCCTCGTCCGAGGGGCAGCGGGAGCTGTGCCTGTCCCTCCAGCGGGCGCCGCCGCCCCTCTCGAGCTCGCGGCCGCGCTCGAAGAAGTCCTCGGTGTTGACGGGCGACGAGGCGTACGAGACGGCGCGCTTGCGGCCGCCGACGCGGACGGGCTCGCGCTCGTCCCGGGGGCTGTCGGTGATGCCGAGGCCGCCCAAGGTGCTGGCGCGGGCGCGGCTGCGCGGGGAGACGGGCAGGGAGGGCTTGTCGGCGGGAGGGGGCAGCAGGTAAGGGGTGGGAGGGCGGCCCTGGACGGAGCGCTCCGAGTCGGAGCCGTAGTCGCGGCGGTCGCCGTGCTGCGGGTGGTCGCGGTCCTTGCGGGGCGAGGACCCGAAGCGGACGCGCCTCGAGCCGTAGTCGGTCACGTCGCTCGCGCTGCGGCGGTGGCTGCGCGAGGCACGGGGCGAGGAGATCTGGCGGGGGGAGCCGCGCGGGGACGAGGAGTTCTCGCGCTGGTCGCGCTCGTGGTGCGAGACGGTGTGGCGGCGGCGCGAGGAGGTGGGCTCGCGGTTGCGGGAGTCGTCGCGGTTGCGGGACGAGCCCTCCTTGCTCTTGCGGCTCCGCTCGCGGCTGCGCTCACGGCTGGCACGCTCGCGCTGGCGGAGGAGCTTGACGTGGGTCTTGACCTTGGTGATGGCCATGCCTATGGTGGTGGTTAGTCTATATATCCGTGGAAACAGATGGCAGGGAGCAGAAACTCACAGTCCTTCTCGGCAACACCGGTCAACAGCCTGTCGTACCACTCATCACGCTCGCGGCGGGTCAGGAGGCCGTCCGAGTAGGCGACCTGGAGATCCTCAGCAAGCTGGACAACCTCGTCAGAGTCCTCGGCGATGGTGGTCTCGGCACGCTTCTTGCGGACCATGCGGGACAGCTCCCAGCTGGTCTTGACGGCGGTGATGACCGAGCCGCAGGTAGCCACGGCGGCAATCTTGGGAAGAAGAATAGCGGCGGCCATTTTGAATCCTTGAATACGATCTTGAACGAGGAAATGTTTCGAAAAGGGGAGGGATGGAGGGAGAGGGGAAAAGAGGAGAAAAGGAAACAAGACGACAAGAAAAGAAGAAAAAAGGAAACGATCAAATAGTGACTTAGGGAAAGGACTAAGGAAAAGGACCAAGAGAGAAGAAACGAAAAGGAAACTTCGATCTTGAGCCGATCCGAGGACGAGCGTTGTTCACTGGCTGGTGAGGAGCAAGATCGAGAATGAAGCGGTAAGGCTGGGTGCGGCCGTGTTAAATATCAGCGTCTGCTCGACACGATAAGCAGAGCTGACCCCCACCCCACCGGCTCGGCAGTCCTCGGATGCCTGTCATGCTGTGTGCTTTAGGACGCTGGGTCGGACAGTCGCTGCCGTGACCCGGAAGCAGGGCAGAGAGTCGTGTGCGGGTTGGGCGTTGGAGCGGGCCTCTGTTGCTGCTGGCGAACCCCCAGCGCCCTGTCTGGAGAGACCGCCCCCCATACTAAGATTAGTGTGTGAGCTGCGCCCTTACTACACGGCGCGATCCGTTGCAGGATCTTGGAGCAACGTGCCAGAGATGTGGGCCCCTTCCCTTTCGAGCCGGCCAAAATCCCCTAGGCCCCAGGGGGCCTCCCCATAGTGGCGTCCAGTGGTGGGGCCGGGCCTCTGGTGTGCAGCCGTTTCTCTTGGTCGCTTGACCAGAGAGGGTTGGATCCTGCCCACCGCATTGAAACCAGCGATATGTATAGACACTTTTTCTGGGGCCTTGACTCGGCACGCCTGTCTCTTGTGCACGCAAGCCTATGCTCCCTGTGTCTGCACCGACAGCCTGCTCGCCCAGCCGTCCGACGTGCTGGGATGGAGACGGCAAACGCTCAACCCGGATTCTTGGGCTGGGCTGAACATGGAAGCACTGGAAGCAGCTGTACCTAGACACACACACTGGGCAGGAAGGTGGCGGCCAAGCGGATAGGGGGCGGGGATGATGTGGGCTCCCCCTCTCCCGCACAAGGCGTCGCGAAGCTGTTAGCGGGTCCATTCTCGATTGCCCGGCACCGAATTCCACCACGGGTGGCGTGGTTGAGCCGCCGCGCGTCCTGCGTCTTGTGCGGGACAATTCGTCCGTCGCCATGGCTTCCGTCGAGGGAAGCGCACTCACCGCGGTGATGATGCCTGAGCCACGGCCCACCTGCTTCTCTCGCCAGAACAATGGAAGAAAAATGTGGGGGGCGCTTCGGCGGGAGGATTTTGCCTGTCGGGTTTAACAGTCGCTGCCAGTTGAGACGTTGACGAGCACGGCCACAAGGAATTGTCCGAGCAGCGCAGCCGATTACTGGAGCAGGCACCACTCAGGCTGTCTGGGCGCCTGGGCGGAGGAAGAGCGGCGCCTCCTACCATCCATTGCGATGCCGGCCATCCGGTCTTGATGGCAGCTCGATTTACCGTATCACCATGTCACCGTGAGTCCGTGTCACTGTGGCGGTCGTGATCGTGATCGATGGTGACCATGACCATGACTGGGAAGCTGGTTGTGTGAGAGAATAGAAGCACATGGCGAATAGCCCAGGTTGGAAGTTGGTAGGAGTTGCCCTACCTGGTGTTTAGTTGGACATCAAGTACCTACCTAGTACCTAGGTGTGCACTAAAAGAAGAATGTCACCCCAAAACCTTGTTATTTTGAACGGGGGCGTTTTCTGCTATGGATTCCTGATCGCCATGCCTTTTTGGGTGAGGATCGTATCTTGTCTATGGAGCATTTTGCCATCGATGCGACCTTGGCCTCACGGCCCGTCGTCTAGCTTCCGTGCTTGCTTTCAACATCCATTCCGGAGCATTTACTCTGCTTTCCGGCGGCTGACCACTGCCTGGTCAATACTTAATACCTGCCAGCTGGTATTCCCGGTGTTGGTTCCCCCACGCTCACTGCATCGTTGCTGGCTGGGAGGCAGATCTTTTGGTGAGATCCACATGTCTACACGTCGTGTAGTAAGCTCGGGTGCATTTGACGTTATAAACCCGCCATTTTAAAAAACCTGCCTGTGTTTCTCGAAAGATAGCCCCTTCCGTGCTTGTACACACGAGGCCTGTCGCTTTCCAGGCCTGCGATTACTTGCCATACATCAGGATACTGTTTGGCCCGCACTTGGGTCGCGTCTCAAAACATGGGCTGCTCAACTGGCTCGCCTTGACGAACCCACAGGACACCCCTAGGGCTGAGATAGAGGATGCTGCGTTTTCAAGATGGCCATCCACACGCTCGCCACGCCAGTCCCTGCGCCCTGATTCCCAGAAACTTGGGCCAACAACACCCTAGCTTGCCCTATGATACACACAGGGCTGGTGCGAGAAACCTCGTCGGCGTTGCCGCCATCCTTACCGAGCATCTTGAGGCCTCTCGTCTCGTCTCATGTCTCTGCTGGGCGCCCAGTCCTTCAAGCCTAGGAGTAGCCCCCTGGTGGGGGGACTCTGAGGAGAGTCCATCGGGAGTGATGTTTGTGGCTGGTCCGCGCATGAATGCCCTGTCAAAGAGCGCGAGTCAGTCGCCTCTCCTATTGACGCTTCCCTCCATTCCATGGAGCTGACTTCCCCGGGCCCAGGATGTCTATCTCCGATTGGAGACTTCCTGGGCCGCCGACAACACAAAGCCCATCTGCCCATATCTCCGCCGGACGGCTGAGCCTGGGAGACCTCGCTTAGCCTTGTGCGCTTAGTTGGGACGAACGTGCCTGCCTCCGGGTTGATGCCGTCCTTGCCGAGAGACGCTTAGGCCGGTTCCACGCACTGGGTCCGATTGAGGCGCCTCCGCGGAGTTTGTGCTGTCTTGAATGCCGAGATACACTCCGTCTGGAAGGAGAATAACGTTTCCACTGTAGACTTTAGACATGCGCCACGATACTCGTGGTGTCTACGACGCTCACGTGGCCAGCCCATGGCATCAGATGTTCCCATCACGTCTTGATATGCGCGTGCTTGTCTTGTCTGCCTGACAGATGCCTGTGGCTCCGCCTCCATCTTTAGGTAATGCATATTTTTTGAGGCGAGGGATGTTATTACGTTAGGTAAGAGCAGTTTCTTTCTATTTCTTTTGTTCTCCCCTTTTCTTCTTTGCCAGCCTTCCTTTTGCCAGGACTCAACATCCGCCCTCGAGAGCATGCGCTCAGGCCGCTGTCAGACATGGACAGGGAGAAGGCTTGTTGCCCGCAGGGCCATTCCAGAGATGAACCCTGCGTGAAGACACCATCGATTCGGCCAGCCCGTGCCTACCTCGCCTCCAGCCTGTGAGATAGCTTGTCTGCTTTCGCCATGTCTAGCCATGCCCTTATCTTCTGTCGGGGAGATCTCCTCAACTGTCGCTATCCACCCACGATCTCCATACTCCCACCGCAGTAGGACATATGACCAGAGACCTACCTACGCACAGGAGGCGCCTACACAGCGGTCAGTATCTAGCTTCTAGTTCGTTCTTGTCCTGACGGTGGTGTATGTAGCACCCATGCATGCAAAACTACTATCATGTGCGACACACCTGTTGTATACTCGCCTCCCGAGGCAACCACCATACAGTTAGGTTCTGACTTCCCGCAGCCGTTGACTCGGGAAGCTCAAGATGCTCAGAGCGGCATCTCCTTGTCGCCCAGTGCACCAAGTTGCCTGTCGCTTCCCTTTGGACTGTGCCCTGATGTAGAGCTGGCTGGCCCTGCTACGCTGATAGAGTAGAACGCGTTCGAGCTAGAGCAGGCGGCTTCCCAAACCCGCCGTTGGATGCTGTCGTTTGTCCGAATAGAGTCAGAGCCATTCGGTAGGAGACCGGGAAAGTCTTTCCCAACACCTCTTCGACCTGAAGTCCCTCGGAGTTGTCCACATATGCCCTCATTTGAAGACACGGGCTGCCCCGGCCCAGACTCCACAGCATCGCGATCTCCCTACGTCTTCTCGATGAGTAACCACTGGGCCACGGGGAGCGTCTGCATAGTTTGCTGACATTGGCTTTTACCCCCCTCGTCAACCTCCCCTGCGCCGGCCGGGAGGAAGCTCGAAGCGGCGGGGCAATGTCGCCGCTGAGGGTGCTCGAGGCCGCCGCCGGCCGGGACGGCCAGGCCGAGGCCCACGCCATGTTTCTGGTGGCGCACACGTCCGAGGCCATATCGCCTCTGCCGCCGTCGCTGGAGCGGGGTCTCGTCGCCATCGCCATCCACACATATCTGGCCATCATCCGCGATTACCGGCTCCCGTCGTGGGCCTTTTACCTCGCCATCGGTCTGCTGTGGGGGCTCAACTACCTAGCGGCGATCCTAGGCATCGTGATACATCGCTGCAGGGCTGCCCCGGGCGGCCTATACGTCCGCGTGATGGCTTGGGTAAGATTCTGCTTTTTT